TTCTTTTTAATTCACGAATTAAAATTTAGCAAACATAAACACGCGTTCTAGCAAACGTCAAATGTAAACAATATGTACAGCGGCTAAAAGAAGAGAGGGTAATGCGCGCGCAGCTAAAATGAACCACGGCGAATTCAAGACAGCTGTAAACAAAATATTGAACAGTAGAATAAGAATTCACACGCATACATTGACATCAAAATTCAAGCCAGCCGTAAAACAAACAAATGCGCTACACTACAGTTTGGTCTGATGGGTATATAAGAGGACACATTTGCTTGGGGAGGCAGTCAGTGATCAACACGCAAAGTGTTCAGAAGCAGACAGAGGCTCGTTATCAACTTTCGAAGACAAGAAAACGCACCAGGGACTTGGACAGTCAAACACAACATACAAAGTCGGTCGCAGAGCTAAGTATAAACAGAGACTTACATAACAAATTTTCCTTTGATTTGTATATCCCTCCCCGGTAGCAGATATAAGCGTGGACACGTTCATATCTGGTTACTACACCCTAATATAAAGCGTGAACACGTTTTATTCCTCCTACAACCACCGTACATAAGCGTGAACACGTTTATATCCTTTCCCAGTAGCAAATATAAGCGTGAACACGTTCATATCCTGCTACTAAAACCTAATATAAAGCGTGAACACGTTTTAGATCCATTCCTACTTACTAAGCCATATATATATATATATATATATATAGAGGTGTGAACACGTCTATAGATAATAACGTCTATAACCCGTAAACTTTTCTTCCGCAACAGGTATAATAATTTTTATAAATATCAAATTTAAATAAATAAACATTGTTAGTTATAAGATAACCTAATAATAAATAAATATTGATCTCAAACACCGTCTTTATCATTTAAAAATTTATTGTAACGACCCAGGACCAACCCCTGAGTATTACCTCGGCAAACAGAGCGACGAAAAATTGTCGTTACAGAATGATTGATTTCTCGAAGGACGAAATTCTTTGTGAATAATGTTCAAGTAGCGCATCTGTTATTGCAGATATAAATATTCGACTGAGTCTCATAAAATATTAAATTAAAAATAATTAAGTCTACAATTAATTGAAATAATTTTTAAAGCATTTAAGTTTTCTCTAACATTGTTTTTTCATCGATTTAGTGGTTTAAATGTTATAGACAAATGTATAGCAAGATATAAAGAGTTTGGACTTACCAAAATAGTAAGCAATTGTTTTTTGTGCAGTTTGTATATTTTCAACATCAAATTCTCAAAGCCCCCTGGTCAGAAAGAATCTCGAATTTAGGGGGAGAACAAATCAATCCCCAGTTTTAAAGGAGATAACAAAACGTCCTAGATTGGGCACACAATTCGACAACCCACAAATAATATAGCAAGGCAAGTACTGCAAGCACATCCACAAAGTAGTCAAGTTCCAGCGCCCTCACCAGCAAGATAATAGCGGAGAACAAATGAAAAGAAATTAAAAGATGTCGGATTTACTTGAAATGATGTCACAAGAACAGCTCCTAAAAAAATACGAATTAAATCGATGGTGAAGGCGCTATGCTCCAGCAGGAGTTCAGGAAATCAATAGTAGTAGCAGTAGTATGTAAATTAGTAAAGTTTATTATTCTAACAACAACATTAGTATTATAGAAAAATTCTTAAATATTGCAGTAGACATCCAATTTTTTCCAATTGATATTAAATTATTTTTCATTATTATAGGAATATATTTTTGTCACACAAAAATTCGTTAGCATTGTACGTCAAAGTACAAAGTCAATCCATTTTAAGGTCCTTAAATCTATTGTTTATCCTTTAACAACTTTTTTGGCAGTTATATGACGAGTTATACCAATTGCAGTTCTGTTATCTCATTGTGGCATTATTGGAGCAAATGTGCACTTTGGTGCTGTTGGTTCTGGGGCTTAATCGTCAACAACCCATTATGTACACACTAGCACACCAAGTGACACCCATACGAAGACAATTGCCAGTGAAATGCTAAATTATCTGCCGAAGTGGTACAGTGTTGACAGCTATCCTGTCAGGCACAAGCCCACAATTATGCTTTGGAACATATTTTCGCACACAATAACCGTTTCGTTGCGTTGCAATTGTAAGTATCACGGCACGCATGTAATTGCTTGAATGTATTCCAAAATGAGCGTGTGTTCATAATCGCACAGAACCCCATCTACAATCCTATCTGTATCTATGAATTCTTGGGTGAGACACACACTGTATGCACATCTGTATGAAAGCGACGCGATGTTGGTGCAGTTTGGTGCAATATCACCGCGTGGTCTTGCAATGAAATGAAAATATTGACGCTGACTGTTATATTGAAAGGCTTCAGGCTGCAACCGAGCTGCAGTGCTCCTGACAGGAACTTGATGTTGCAATTGCAGTTGCTGCTGTTGTAGTTGCAGTTGCTCTTACCGTTATTGAAGTTGTTGTTACTACTGCAATAGTTGATGCAGTTGTTCCATTTATTGTGCATCTGCACTGAGTTGACACTTTGTGGTAAAGAAATAAATAAAAATTTGTTAATTCGCAATTGCACGACTGTTGTTCTACATTGTCCTGTCGTTGTTTGTTGGTTAATCAAAATATCCTTACAACCTGTAATTGACACATTTGCTATATTGTAATTTAGTAGGAAGAGTGTGATGTGGGTTTTTAATTCCTATAATATATTTATAAAAATTTTCTAAAAATGATTTTCGTATTTTTAATTAACAGCAAATTTGGTGTTTAACCGATTGTTAATTAAGTCAAGTTTTTAAAGTTACAGATTTGGGTAGTTCTCTCCATCGATAGTTATGCACAAAATTACTACTGTTTTAACTTTATTTAGCCCATTGAGATACCACGACAATATCGTTGGTTCGTACATAAACTTAAAGATAAGTATACGACCAACGACAAAAAAAGGTAAAGACTTCCCCATTAAGTAAAGGTAATCCAACCTGACAGCTAAAGAGATCTATACTCTGAAATTAACAAAATATTTCAACTACTTTTTAAAATTCAATGTAATGGAGATATATTTATAAGTAACTCTAAGAATTAAGTATAAGACCTTTCATCAGGATATAATTTAATTATTTCAGTCAGAATTCTATATTAGACTTTTATGAAAAGTTGTTATACCTAATATATATACCTTTATATTCCAACTACAACTTAAAAAGAAGTAACAAAACAATAACTACAATCTACCATACTTAGTTGGGATATCGGTAATAGAACTTTGAGTAATATAGAAAGATATCTTTATTTTGAAGATATTACGCTGACAGCAATGAATAAAGATTATGTTAGAGCTTTTCTATCCGATGTATTTGTCATTATATTCTACCTGCAACTTAAGAAGAATAAACTATTATCTGTCATCCATGCTCAATCGGAATAAGGGTAATAGACATTGGAGTAAGATGGCAGGATATTATATTTTAAATATATATCGCTATATCGCTGATATCAATAAATATAGATTATGTAATGAACTAACAAAATAATAACTTCTGCTTTGCTTGCTCAATCGAAATATCATCAATAGACGTCAGAATAAAAAAGAAACCCAGAAAGGGTTTTAATTGATGCAAAGAGGACTAATTGGAACAAAAAAAACGCTCTATTTTGTTTATTTTTGTCATATTTAATGAAAGATAAATGAAAGTATGCGAAAAGAACTTTATAATTTTAACTGAATTTATTTGGATTGAATATGGCCATCTGTAGCATGAGTTATGGGCTTCAAACGGCAAATTAAGCTTTCGCACGCTAACCGCAAATGACTTTGCGGTATTTTGGCCTATTCTCGGTTTAGCGCTTGCTTCAAACGATCGACATTTTGGTATTTTTTAGTATTAACCATACTTTTTAAAATGCCACAGAACAAGAAATCGAAAGGGTTTATATCAGGTGAATACAGTGGCTACTGTGTTGATGGAATAAAGCACGGAACGTTGTTTTTCAGCCATTCTGGCTAAAGTGTACTTTGGGCTATGGTGCTGAACTCTGTTGGAATATCGAATTTCTCACTTTAAAATAATTTCCCGATTGATTTTGGCGTTTAGTTTCACCCTACGGTCAACAAACACGAGCGGAGAGCGACTATGAACGTTACGGCAGCCCACAACATCACTATCGGTGACGCCTGCTTTCTGATGGCCATTCATATATTTAGATTTTTATCTGTTCTCTCTGATAAGTAAACTCGATCGTTTTGTTTACGTACTGGTCAATTACGAATTGACCAACCCACCATCTTCAGTCAAACGAATCAGCATTTAGGCTCTTTCGACTTTAACTTTTTTTGTTCATCGTCAAGATAATGCACTTTGTTCACCTTGATCGGCTTTAGTTTGAGATCATTTTTTAAAATGTATAATATAATTTTTCTCGTAATACGTTCACCTCCTGTGCCATTTGATTGTAGCTACAACGAGGGTTTCGCTCAATTCGCTTCTTCACTTAACAAATCATTTCTGGTATTGTTACTGTTTTTTTTTTGGTCCACTTTCTGGGCGTCAGGCAATGCTATCAGTATCACATTATCGAGCTATAAGATGGGACACAAATCATATTTTCACATTTAGATTTTGGAGGACTTGAACGATACCCACTTCTATTTTTCCAGCCAAATATAAAGCAATAACGTTTCACCTTCATCATATACAACTTCTCTTCTGCAACACAAAAATCGAAATGCCTTCATTCGCTTGTAAATAAGACAATGAATTGTCAAATGAATTCATTTTGAGCTTTCTCTCATTCTTGGTTTGACAGCTAGATCGGTACGAAGTTTGTGCCCTACGAGAAATGTATTCAAAAACTTGATTGATATTTTGGTTTAACATGACGTATTAAGTTTTGTCTCCTTTCGCTTTAATGACATTAAATAAAAATTTTAAAAAGATATATGCTTTGGAGTTGGAGAAGTAGTCATTGAAAATTAAAAAGAAAGTATTTCACACTACTAAAAGAAATTTGATCAAATATTTAAAAAAAATATATGTAAATTGCATAAAAGATTATTCTTTGAATCGAACATAAATATTCACGCAATAAACAACATAAAGTTATAATGGATAGTGAATCACAATTTGCAACAGAGAGTAGCCAAGCTCCCAAGAAAAGTGTGAAACTGTATACTGAAGATGTTGAAGAGGCTACAGAAGACGATGAGTCTGGCTTTAGTGATTTTTCGGAAGAATCAGCCAACATAAAAACTGGTGCTAGTACTTATAATCTTTCTGACTTAAAGAAAAAGCCATATTCCGTGAATGATCTTCAAAAGGATTCAGATGATCCAAGTGAAGATTCTGACACATCGATGGGAAAACGTGCAGAGTTGAAACAGGAAATAGAATTACCTATCCCACAAGATTTCTTTGAATTATTGGCATCAATTCCTGAAATTGAAGATATTTCGTTAGATTCGGATTTAGAAGAAGAATTGGAAAGACGTAGCAAAGCGTCTAGAAAATCAAGACACTCTGAAGAAGAAGGGCGATTCACTGATCCATTATTAGGTACAGACATATCATCATCCGAATCAACACCCATATATGAAGAGGAAGCTATTGCCGAAAGTAAATCCGAATCTGTTGGTATTCTTATTCATGAAATATTTTTGCCGAAATTGCCAAAGGAGAAAAAAATCGATATAAAAGCGTTGGAAGAACAAGATATAGAACACTTTTTTGATATACCTGCTGTGCTACCTGTTGTTCCAGAGGTCAATGTAGACGAATTGATCAAATTAGAAATACAACGTCAAGTTAAAGAGGATACCAAAAAACTGCTTTATACGATAATAGATCACGTCGTCACAAAATGTGAGCACATTGATATGAGAACATTGTTAAATGCAAGTTTGGATAAAGAAGTACTGATCGAATTACTAGAGCGCAAAATATCGGAATATAACACGGAACTTAATGTTAATAAATTTCTTGTTAGTAAATGCACAATGTACTTTTATCAAAAGGGAATGAAAAGATTTTTAACTCCTGATAAACAGAAGCCCAAAATGCTTAGAAAAAAATATATTGAAAAACTGCATCTCTTAGACGAAATGATGGAATGCAAGCAAAAAGTTGAAGAAAAATTCGATAGCAAAATTAAAAATCTTCGCTCAGCTATAATCGAAAAAGAAGAGTCTGTTGCTAGACAAGTTGAAGAATTTGAAGAACTAGTTTTGGAAACATTCACAAAGAACAAGTCTGATGAATTTCGCAAGGTAAGCAATTTGTTAAGGTAAATATTCTATATATTCTTTGAAATATACAGACACATTTCTTTCGAGATGCATACACACTTACACTTATCTGCAAAGAAGAACAAGGTTTTAGAGTACAACGAACGACTTACTAAGAAAGGAAGGAAATGTACCTTGTAATAGTTGCCAATTGCGCAAGTAACTGATATCACTTCTAAGATAAGTGGTAACGATTAGGTCTGGAACGCTCAGCAACTTGTCGGATAAGAGCAGATAAAAATTATTGTTTACTACACAGTACTAAATTCAGAGCAGTGAACCTGATCTACTTGACGGATAAGAGCGGATAAAACTTATTGTTTACTGCATAGTAATAAATTCATAGAAGTGAACCTGAACTACTTATCGGATAAGGGCGAATATAAGTTATTTTTTATTGCATAGCACAAAGTTTAAGTGTAAGCGTGTATGAGGCACCAAAATAAGTAACGCAACGTTGAAAAGATAAAATTTGTATATATTTCAGTATGTGGAAAGTAGTTTAGCTATGTTTCGTGCGGCGAGAGCTGAAATTCAGACAGCACGGATAGAATTTATCAAACGAAAGCGAGAGGATATATTGCTTAGAAAGGTAAATAGTTGCGAATTTTATTTTTATTGCACTTGACATATTTTTAATTACTTATATAAAATTATACACCTTCTCAAATTTCATGCAAATAGAAATTAGATGAAACAAATCAACTGGGAAACGGTATTACCATTGATAAAGTTGAATTGTTAGAAGCTGAAGTACAAACACAAAGCAAAAAGCTTGAAGGTTAACATAAATATTTCCTTTAAGATCCATACATTATTTAAGTTTTCTATTATGTTCTTTTTCTTGTTTCGTACGATCAGCAATCAATAGCGATATAAGCAAGAAGCAAGAGGAATTTAACTATGTACTACATTGCAGAGCTCATTTGGCTGAGAAAATCAAACTTCAAAATATTGAAGTTGACAAGCTCACACATAAATTGGACATGATCATTGAAAAGCGAGAGAATACGAAGAATGAGACACATGAAATAACAATGGAACGTCTAGAAATACAAAAGGAAATGAATGAATTAGTGGATGCGGCTGGTGGATTGATAAATAAATATCTTCTCTTGGAAGACTATGATGTAACTTCAAGTAAATTAGCTGAAATTAGACAGAAAAATAAAGAGACTAAAGAGGAAATGGCTAGAACTATCAAATTTATCGAGCGCTTGGAAAGTGCATTTAAGAAAGAAGAAAATGATTACTATAATTTTTAAGCGGTAAAGATATGATTGCAGACATTATATATATATATATATAATACCTCATTGAAAACGATTCACCATTTATTTACAGCGAAAAGTCTTATATATTTTTGCATACATTTATAACAATTATTTAGTTAGTTCTATTTTTTGACTTCAATAAATATTGTATTATGAAGTTTTGTTTTATTTATTTAATGAAAAAAATTTAATGTATCTCAATCTCAAATCTCAATGAATATCAAATTATCTGACATAACAAGAAATATTTAATATCTTCCTTATTATGATATTTTGAAGGTTTTCAATTCTTCATAAGTGAAGAATTCATTAGCTCCTTAGTAAAAGAGCACAGTTTTACATCAAAGATGACCTGATGACTCGCTGTTAGATTAATATTATATTTTTCCGGTATAGCTTTTGCTCTTGAAGAGATATTGAAATTGTTTCAGAGTTTCAGAGTAGTAATTGTCTTCTTTTGTTTTCGTGTGGTGTTCCCGATAGAACACCACACCAAAATATAGGTGTAGGTACTTGGTTATACTATTCCAATTAATTTTAGAACTATTAACTGTTTACACGCTTGAATTCTGATGTTGCTTAAGAGTGATAGCAGTTGTTTTTGATTTGTCATTACTGAGTATGATCGAACTTTCTAAAAGTTAAAGACGAAATCATTAATATATATGTGCACAGACTTTGGAAAAAAGTGAATTTCATGTGCTGGCTAAAATCCACGAATTTAGATACGAACTGCTATATCTAGCATAGCATATCTAGCATATTCTCCAGATTTAGCCCCCTGCGACTATTTTCTGTTTCCAAACCTAAGGAAATTCAAAAAGTCACTGACTTATCAAACCACTCTCGTATGAGAAGCCTGCGTAAGTTTAAGTTGCAGATCAATATAATAATTCACCCTAAAAGCAAAGTATTCATCTAGGAAAATGCTTGCTTTCTCAACGGCTTCATTTTATCTAGGAAGTATTAAAGGCTTCTTATATCTGATCAGACATTCTGTTATCGTTACTATTGTTTAGTTTTCGAAGACTACAAGTAAGCCAATCTGTATTATCGCGTTCGTGATGCTCATAATGTTAGCAAGAGAAATATCCGGAAAACATTCGATACATCAATTTTTCTTTTATCAAAATTAAAAAACCGTTATTTAAATTAATGCCCCTTCGTTAACCAGCTAAAGATCATGTAAAGTAATAGTTGGTTCAATTTTCTTATTATTAGCTCATCAATCTGTCACCAAATTATCGCAGCTACAACTTTGTCATGACTTGAGTTAAAAAATAGTGGATCAGAAATATTCCTATATATAATTCTAGGAAATTACAGTTCAAGACTACGCTAAGCAATCAGTTATATGATCAATGTTTACGTCAACTTTTAAGCTATGACCAAAGACCGTGGTATATAGGGAGTCATATATCAATTGTCAATATCCTAACTTTACTTCTAGTTTGTTACGTTTGTTTGTGCTTGTAAATATATTTGTATTTACTCCTAAATTTTAACATTTTGGTCTCATCACCGTGACCAAATCAAAATCGAAATATCTTTCTTTTCCTCACTCCCAGTTGTTTAACTTATATTAAAAACACCGATAATTTTTCATATAATGTGACATTGATGTATAACATGATCCTTATATTAAAAAAAATAATACAACAAGTAGACATTGAAAAACAAGAATAAAATTTGTTAAATATTAAAAAATTTTTTTGTTTGTGAAAAAAAAAACACTTGAAAGAATAGTTCTCAGAATATTTCACATATACTCGTTTAACTAGCAGATATAAATATTCACAATGAAACCAATAAAGTCCTTAACACGTTCTAAGACTCTAAGTAAAAGTTCACAGCAACTCGTTGAAGCCACTCTGGACGCGCAAGTGGAAGAAGAAGACTCCTCTTCTGATTTCAGTGATTTTTCGGAAGAATCACTCTCCATAACAGCCCGTGCATTTACTTATACTCCTTTTAATTTGTCCGATTTAAACAAAAAGGAATACTCACTCGACGATCTTCGAAAAGATTCAGATGATCTGAATGAGGATTCTCAGTCATCACATGGAAAACGTATTGTGGAGGAACAGCAATTAGAGCTACCTGTCCAACAAGATTTCTTTAAAGCATTACAAACTGTTCCTGAATTGCATGATATTTCGTTAGATTCCGATTTAGAAAAAGAAGAGGACGGACTTATCAAGGCGGATAAAAAATCAGTATTACCTGGAAGACATGGCCAATTCGTGGATCCTATATCAGGTGCAATTCTAGGTACACCCGAATTAACACCCACACCAGAAGTCATTGTCGAAAAAGAAAAAGAAAAAATTAAATCGGAATCAGAATCAGGGAAAATACCTCAGGAACCGCTTACACAAGATATAATATTGCCAGAATTGCCAAAAGAGAAAAAAATCGATATAAAGGCGTTGGAGGAACAAGATATAGAACACTTTTTTGATATACCTGCTGTGCTCCCTGTTGTTCCAGAGGTCAATGTAGACGAATTACTCAAATTAGAAATACAACGTCAAGTTGAAGAGGATACAAAAAAACTGCTTTATTCAGTCATAGATCACGTCGTCACAAAATGTGAACACACTGATATAAGGACTGTGTTAAATGCAAGTTTGGATAAAGAAGAACTGATGGAATTACTAAGAAGCAAATTTACGGATTATAACCTGGAACTAAGTGTTAATAGATTTCTTGTTACTAAATGCACGATGCACTTTAATCAAAAGGGAATGAAACGATTTTTAACTTCTAAGCCTGAGAGTAACCGAAAACTTAGAAAAAAATATATTGAGAAACTGCATCTCTTAGACGAAATGATGGAATGCAAGCAAAAAGTTGAAGAAAAATTTGGTAGTAAAATTAAAAATCTTCGCTCTAGTATAATCGACAAAGAAGAGTCTGTTGCAAGACAAGTTGAAGAATTCGAAGAATTGGTCTTGGAGACATTCACTAAAAACAAGTCTGATGAATTTCGCAAGGTAAGCAATTTGTTAAGGTAAATATTCTATATATTCTTTGAAATATACAGACACATTTCTTTCGAGATGCATACACACTTACACTTATCTGCAAAGAAGAACAAGGTTTTAGAGTACAACGAACGACTTAGTAAGAAAGGAAGGAAATGTACCTTGTAATAGTTGCCAATTGCGCAAGTAACTGATATCACTTCTAAGATAAGTGGTAACGATTAGGTCTGGAACGCTCAGCTACTTGTCGGATAAGAGCAGATAAAAATTAATGTTTACTGCATAGCAATAAATTCAGAAAAATGAATCTGATCTACTTGACGGATAAGAGCGGATAAAACTTATTGTTTACTGCATAGTAATAAATTCATAGAAGTGAACCTGAACTACTTATCGGATAAGGGCGAATATAAGTTATTTTTTATTGCATAGCACAAAGTTTAAGTGTAAGCGTGTATGAGGCACCAAAATAAGTAACGCAACGTTGAAAAGATAAAATTTGTATATATTTCAGTATGTGGAAAGTAGTTTAGCTATGTTTCGTGCGGCGAGAGCTGAAATTCAGACAGCACGGATAGAATTTATCAAACGAAAGCGAGAGGATATATTGCTTAGAAAGGTAAATAGTTGCGAATTTTATTTTTATTGCACTTGACATATTTTTAATTACTTATATAAAATTATACACCTTCTCAAATTTCATGCAAATAGAAATTAGATGAAACAAATCAACTGGGAAACGGTATTACCATTGATAAAGTTGAATTGTTAGAAGCTGAAGTACAAACACAAAGCAAAAAGCTTGAAGGTTAACATAAATATTTCCTTTAAGATCCATACATTATTTAAGTTTTCTATTATGTTCTTTTTCTTGTTTCGTACGATCAGCAATCAATAGCGATATAAGCAAGAAGCAAGAGGAATTTAACTATGTACTACATTGCAGAGCTCATTTGGCTGAGAAAATCAAACTTCAAAATATTGAAGTTGACAAGCTCACACATAAATTGGACATGATCATTGAAAAGCGAGAGAATACGAAGAATGAGACACATGAAATAACAATGGAACGTCTAGAAATACAAAAGGAAATGAATGAATTAGTGGATGCGGCTGGTGGATTGATAAATAAATATCTTCTCTTGGAAGACTATGATGTAACTTCAAGTAAATTAGCTGAAATTAGACAGAAAAATAAAGAGACTAAAGAGGAAATGGCTAGAACTATCAAATTTATCGAGCGCTTGGAAAGTGCATTTAAGAAAGAAGAAAATGATTACTATAATTTTTAAGCGGTAAAGATATGATTGCAGACATTATATATATATATATATAATACCTCATTGAAAACGATTCACCATTTATTTACAGCGAAAAGTCTTATATATTTTTGCATACATTTATAACAATTATTTAGTTAGTTCTATTTTTTGACTTCAATAAATATTGTATTATGAAGTTTTGTTTTATTTATTTAATGAAAAAAATTTAATGTATCTCAATCTCAAATCTCAATGAATATCAAATTATCTGACATAACAAGAAATATTTAATATCTTCCTTATTATGATATTTTGAAGGTTTTCAATTCTTCATAAGTGAAGAATTCATTAGCTCCTTAGTAAAAGAGCACAGTTTTACATCAAAGATGACCTGATGACTCGCTGTTAGATTAATATTATATTTTTCCGGTATAGCTTTTGCTCTTGAAGAGATATTGAAATTGTTTCAGAGTTTCAGAGTAGTAATTGTCTTCTTTTGTTTTCGTGTGGTGTTCCCGATAGAACACCACACCAAAATATAGGTGTAGGTACTTGGTTATACTATTCCAATTAATTTTAGAACTATTAACTGTTTACACGCTTGAATTCTGATGTTGCTTAAGAGTGATAGCAGTTGTTTTTGATTTGTCATTACTGAGTATGATCGAACTTTCTAAAAGTTAAAGACGAAATCATTAATATATATGTGCACAGACTTTGGAAAAAAGTGAATTTCATGTGCTGGCTAAAATCCACGAATTTAGATACGAACTGCTATATCTAGCATAGCATATCTAGCATATTCTCCAGATTTAGCCCCCTGCGACTATTTTCTGTTTCCAAACCTAAGGAAATTCAAAAAGTCACTGACTTATCAAACCACTCTCGTATGAGAAGCCTGCGTAAGTTTAAGTTGCAGATCAATATAATAATTCACCCTAAAAGCAAAGTATTCATCTAGGAAAATGCTTGCTTTCTCAACGGCTTCATTTTATCTAGGAAGTATTAAAGGCTTCTTATATCTGATCAGACATTCTGTTATCGTTACTATTGTTTAGTTTTCGAAGACTACAAGTAAGCCCATCTGTATTATCGCGTTCGTGATGCTCATAATGTTAGCATGAGAAATATCCGGAAAACATTCGATACATCAATTTTTCTTTTATCAAAATTAAAAAACCGTTATTTAAATTAATGCCCCTTCGTTAACCAGCTAAAGATCATGTAAAGTAATAGTTGGTTCAATTTTCTTATTATTAGCTCATCAATCTGTCACCAAATTATCGCAGCTACAACTTTGTCATGACTTGAGTTAAAAAATAGTGGATCAGAAATATTCCTATATATAATTCTAGGAAATTACAGTTCAAGACTACGCTAAGCAATCAGTTATATGATCAATGTTTACGTCAACTTTTAAGCTATGACCAAAGACCGTGGTATATAGGGAGTCATATATCAATTGTCAATATCCTAACTTTACTTCTAGTTTGTTACGTTTGTTTGTGCTTGTAAATATATTTGTATTTACTCCTAAATTTTAACATTTTGGTCTCATCACCGTGACCAAATCAAAATCGAAATATCTTTCTTTTCCTCACTCCCAGTTGTTTAACTTATATTAAAAACACCGATAATTTTTCATATAATGTGACATTGATGTATAACATGATCCTTATATTAAAAAAAATAATACAACAAGTAGACATTGAAAAACAAGAATAAAATTTGTTAAATATTAAAAAATTTTTTTGTTTGTGAAAAAAAAACACTTGAAAGAATAGTTCTCAGAATATTTCACATATACTCGTTTAACTAGCAGATATAAATATTCACAATGAAAACAATGAAGTCCGTAACACGTTCTAAGACTCTAAGTAAAAGTTCACAGCAACTCGTTGAAGCCACTGTGGATGCGCAAGTGGAAGAAGAAGACTCCTCTTCTGATTTTAGTGATTTTTCGGAAGAATCACCCTCCATAACAGCTCGTGCATTTACTTATACTCCTTTTAATTTGTCCGATTTAAACAAAAAGGAATACTCACTCGACGATCTTCGAAAAGATTCAGATGATCTGAATGAGGATTCTCAGTCATCACATGGAAAACGTATTGTGGAGGAACAGCAATTAGAGCTACCTGTCCAACAAGATTTCTTTAAAGCATTACAAACTGTTCCTGAATTGCATGATATTTCGTTAGATTCCGATTTAGAAAAAGAAGAGGACGGACTTATCAAAGCGGATAAAAAATCAGTATTACCTGAAAGACATGGCCAATTCGTGGATCCTGTATCAGGTGCAATTCTAGATACACCCGAATTAACACCCACACCAGAAGTCATTGTCGAAAAAGAAAAAGAAGAAATTAAATCGGAGTCAGAATCAGAGAAAATACCTCAAGAACCGCTTACACAAGATATAATATTGCCAGAATTACCAAAAGAGAAAAAAATCGATATAAAGGCGTTGGAAGAACAAGATATAGAACACTTTTTTGATATACCTGCTGTGCTCCCTGTTGTTCCAGAGGTCAATGTAGACGAATTACTCAAATTAGAAATACAACGTCAAGTTGAAGAAGACACAAAAAAACTGCTTTATTCAATCATAGATCACGTCGTCACAAAATGTGAACACACTGATATAAGGACTGTGTTAAATGCAAGTTTGGATAAAGAAGAACTGATGGAATTACTAAGAAGCAAATTTACGGATTATAATCTGGAACTAAGTGTTAATAGATTTCTTGTTACTAAATGCACGATGCACTTTAATCAAAAGGGAATGAAAAGATTTTTAACCTCTAAGCCTGAGAGTAACCGAAAACTTAGAAAAAAATATATTGAGAAACTGCATCTCTTAGACGAAATGATGGAATGCAAGCAAAAAATTGAAGAAAAATTCGGTAGTAAAATTAAAAATCTTCGCTCCAGTATAATCGAAAAGGAGGAGTCGCTTGCTAGACAAGTTAAAGAATTTGAAGAATTGGTCTTGGAGACATTCACTAAAAACAAGTCTGATGAATTTCGACACGTAAGAAACTTATGAAACAATATAAATATTTTTTTGAAACCCAAAGTTATAGTGCTTTTGACCATTATACACCTGTGCGCTCAGACTTATCTGTAAAAATATAGCTGTGCATTAATATATTTTTAACTTAAAAAAAAAATGTGGCAACACTGGATTACACAAATTTATTCCGAAACAAACTAAATTATATTTAAAGTAGATTAATTTAAAATGATATAACAAATTCTTAATGAGAGTTGGCTAATATAGTGTAAAGGCCACTTACTTACTTATGGTAGCTTCAGAGCTCAGTCACTTCTTAAACCATTGACGCAAATGGTTTAACCGCTATGGTTTATTGTATAGTATGTAGTCTAAGTGAAAGTGTATAAGTATATAAGTTGTCAAAAGAACTAACGCAGTTATGAAAAGATATATTTTGCAAATATTTCAGTATGTGGAGGATCATTTGGCAGCAATGCGTGCAATGGTGGCTGAAATCAAGACAGTACGCATACAATTGATCAGACGACAACATGAAGATGTAGTACTAAAAAAGGTAAAGTTTTATAGTCGAGTTCTTTAAATCAATATATCTTTTCTGATTAATGAATTTATTATATGTTGATGTACTGCATGTGTGTTTTTAATTGCTTATCCAGCGAATGCATGAAATGAACGACCTTGGAAATGGTGTGACTATTGATAAAATTGAATTGCTCGGAGCTGAAATACAAACGTTGGACAAAAAGCTTGAAGGTAATTAATTTACACATTTTAGAACCAATAGTTTACTTTTTCATTATTCTTACTATGTGGTCAGCTATCACTAGCGATATCAACAAGAAGCAAGAGGAATTTGACTCTATACTGCATCTAAAAGCTCATTTAGCCGAGAAAACTGAACTTCAAAAAATTCAAATCGACCTACTGACACAACAATTGAACATAGAAATTGAAAAACGAGAGAATTTAAAGAATGAGACACAAGAAATAACAAAGGAACGTCTAGCAATACAAAAAGAAATGAATGAATTAGTGGATGCGGCCGGTGGATTGATTAATAAGCCACTTCTCTTGGAAGATTATGATAATACTTCCAGAAAATTAGCTGAAATTAGACAGAAAAACAAAGAGACTAGAGAGGAAATTGCTAGATCTGATGAATATTTCGCTTACCTGGAACGCGTATGTAGAAAAAAACCCAAATAATTATAATAATTAATTTATTCATTAATTATAAATAATTATTTGAGTGGAGACTGCGAGCTACAGAATCAATTACTGTTAAGACGAATTGTTTTGTAGTTGCAACAAATTATATATTTTTATATATTTTTATAATAATTATATATTTTATTGTATTTCTTATTTTCAATAAATAATTATTATGTTTTATTGAAATGCATGTTTAAATGTTTTTGTTAAAAAAAAAATACAAACAATGGTATTAAGAAGTAGAAGCCAAATATCAGCTAAAAAATAATGATTTTATAAAGACTAAATGGAGAAGATTATATTGGAGAACAAGTATTGAATACTGTTATTACCAGATATGACCAAATAATACCATGTAATAATACCATTGTATTATATTTATATTTATAAAGTGTATATTATTTATTTTAATAAAGTGCAAAATCTGCTTTCTATCAAACTTACTCATAACATTCTTCCCCACCTCACTTGTAATGTGTATTAGTTTAATTTGCTTTTCTATTACTAATTTGCCATAAAGCATACATTTCACACCAATTTCCTGTTATAATTGTTCTAGTAAACATAATGCCTTAACATTCTATCTTCGAATAGATAGATCTAAAAATAATACATTGGACTTTTAAATTCAAATATTTAATATTTTTGCAATTAAAGTTGCAGCTATTTCAGATACCAACAAATATTCATTATAATATATTTAAAATATTTAAATAAATATATATTTAAATATAATAATATAAATATAATAATATAATAATACTATATCCAATATGCCTTGATATCTCTCCTTGACACCAGATGATTTTACTTGAAGATGTATTAAACTTTGACAGTTTAACATTGAATGAGTTTGTAATTTAGGTAAATTCTGGAATTTATGGATTTGCGTATAGACAATTGC